GAATCAGAATCAATTCGATGGCAGTGGGTTTAAAGGGAGGGGGACGCTAAAACTTGAAGGGGTCAACATAGCTTTTTCAAGTGAATATATGATTCTACTTGAAGCCAAAGATCTTTCAAGTGAATTGCCCAGAACCTGAGGCTTAATTTTAAAAAAACCAAACCAAACTCACTGCCGTCAAGTTGGATCCAACTTGACAGTGACCCCTCCTTGGGTTTCCAAGGTGGTATCCCTATGGAAGTAGATTGTCCATTCTTCCTTCCAAGGAGTGGCTGCTGAGTTTGAACCATGAGCCTTCTGGTTAGCAGTCAAATGCCTTAGGCTAATTATAAATCCGGGCTCGTAAGACCATGCATAAAGATCAAGGGTTGGGTCTATAGGATAGACTGAGATAAGGAAATAGAAGGCTTCATCAAAGTGTCAGGTATAAGATCAACAAATAAAAATTAAGAGGATTCCTCTATACTAACAAAGATAACTCTGAAAAGAAAATCAGGAAAACAATATCATTTTTATTTGTTGTTGTTGTTGTCATGTGCCGTCGAGTCGGACCCGACTCATAGCGACCCCTCCGTGGGTTTCCGAGGCAGTATCACTACACAAGTAGATTGCCCCATCTTCCTTCTGAGGAGTGGCTGGCGGATTTGAACCGCCAGCCCTCTGGTTAGCAGTCCAGTGCCTTAGGCACTATGCTACCAGAGCTCCTATCATTTAGTTTTCTCTGTATAGATCTTTTATGTCTCTGGTTAGATTTACTCCTAAGTATTTCATCTTTTAGGTGGCTAATCATTTTTATTAGCCACCTAAAAGATGAAATACTTAGGAATAAATCTAACCAGAGACATAAAAGATCTATACAGAGAAAACTACAAAATACTATTATAAGAAACCAAAAGAAACATACATAAATGGAAGAACATGCCATGCTCATGGACAGGAAGACTTAACACTGAAAATGACAATACTACCCAACCAATCTACAGAATACAATGCAATTTCAACCCGGGTTCCACCATCATTCTTTAAAGAGATGGAAAAACTGTTTACCAACTTTATATGGAAAAGAAGGAGACCTTAGATAAATAAAACACTATGAAAGAAGAAGAACATAGTAGGTGGCCCCATACTCCTTGATTCCAAAACCTACTACACTGCCACAGTAGTCAAAATAGCCTGGTTTTGGTACAATGACAGATATATAGCCCAATAGAACAGAATTGTGAACCCAGACACAAATCCATCCATCCATAGTCAGGTGATCTTTGACAAAGGGCCAAAACCCACTAAAAAGGGAAGAGATAGTCTCTTTAACAAATGGGGCTGGCAAAACTAGATACCCATTTGCAGAAAAATGAAACAGCATCCTATCACATCACACAGGACATACAAAAACTAACTCAGAATGGATCAAAGACCTAAATATAAAACCTCAAACCATAAAGATCATCAAAGAAAAAACAGGGGTAAACTCAGAGGCCCTAATACATAGCATAAATGCATTATCAAATATAACTAAAAGTGCACAAACAGCAGAAGACAAACAAGATGACTGGGACCTTCTAAAAATTAAATTTATGTTTAATTTATGCATCAAAAGAGTTTGTCAAAAAAGGTAAAAAGTGAACCCAAAGACTGGGAAAAAAATTTTGGCAATGATATACTGGATGAGGGAATAAACTCTGAAATTTATAGAAAACTTCAACATCTCAACAAAAAAAGAGACAAACAATCCAATTAAAAAATGGGCAGAGGACATGAACAGACAGACACTTCACAAAAGAAGACATTTAGGTGACTAACAAACACATGAAGAAATGTTTGCAATGATTAATTATCAGAGAGACGAAAATTGAAACAACAATGGGATATCATCTCACCCCACCATTAATAGCAAAGTTCAAAAAAACAGACAACAACAAATGCTGATGAGGCTGTGGAGACCCTGGAACCCTCATACACTGCTGGTGGGATTGTAAAATGGTACAACCACTGTGAAAAGCGGTATGGTACTTCCTTAAGAAGTTGGAAATAGAAATATTATGTGATCCAGCAATCCTACTTCTACGCATATATCCTAGAGAAATAAGAGCTGTGACATGAACAGATATTTGCACATCCATGTTCATCACAGCATTATTCACAAGAGCAAAAAAATGGAAATAACCTAAGTGCTCATAAATGGATGAATGTTTAACCAAACTATGGCACATACACACAATGGAATACTACGTAATGTTAAAGAATAATGATGAATCTGCAAAACACATCATAATGTGGAAGATCCTAGAGGACATTATGCAGAATGAAATTAGTCAAACATAAAAGGGCAATTATTGTATGAAACCACTACTGTTAAAAATTAAGAAAAGGCTTACACACAGAAAGAATCATTCTTTGAAGGATACCAGAGGTGGGAGGGGAAAAGAGGGAAAATCACCAACTATAGGGTAGACACATATTAACTTGAGTGAAGGGAAAGGTAATATACAATAAGCAGCAGGTCAGCATACAATGTTCAAGGCAGTGGAAGACACAGAGAGGAGCAGGGGAGTTAAAGGCAACAAAGGTGAATGCTATTACACACGCAATCCTGCAATAACAATAATAATAATAATAATTTATGAGTGGATACATAGACAGACATTCAATCTGAACATGGGTGAGAAGGCAAATGGGACTATACCCACGAATATATATATATATATAGGTTTGACAGAAGCTACTTTTACCTATGTATTTATACGTGCTTCAAATATATCCATGAATACAGTAGAACATACAGGGAACACAGTTGTGTAAACATCTTATTTATAACCAAACACCTTGAGGGAAAGAGTCACTGAGGAGGAAGGCTTAGGACTACAGTCTCAGGCAACACTAAGGTCAGCTGGCATAACACAGTCCATAAAGACAACATCCTACATCCTACTTTGGTGAGTAGTGACTGGGGTTCTTAAAAGCCTGTGAGAAGCCATCTATGATCTCTCCCTGTCTGGAGTAAAGAAGAGTGAAGAAAAGCAAAGACACAAGAAAGGAATTAGTCCAAAGGACTAAGGGATCACATGACATCTGCCTCCGCAACTCTGAGACCAGAAGAATTAGAAGGTGCCCAGCCACCACTGTTGACTGCTCTGAAAGGGATCACAATAAGAGGTCCCAGATAGAGTGGGGGGAAATGTGGAACAAAACTCAACATCATTAAGAAAGACCACTCTTACTGGTCTGATGAAGACTGGTTGAACCCCAGAGACTATAGCCCTTAGACACCCTTACAGCTAGGAAGTGAATTTAACCCTTGTGACTCAACTCTCAGCCAAACAACAGACAGGCCCATAAAGTGAACAAAAATATCAGAAAGCTAATCACTCATCAGAACAATCAAGCATATGAGATCAAGAGGACAGCATTTGACCAGAGACACAGCTAGAACGGTGGGAGGGGAAGGACGAAGGGAAGGGGTAGGCACAAGGAGGAAGTGGGAGGAATCCTGTTATAGTGTGGGAATTGTAGCAAATGTCACAAAAAAGGATATGTATGGATTGTTGAATGGAAAACCAAATTTATTCTATAAACTTTCACCCAAATCACAATTAAAAAAATATATATATTCATGGTAACTTCGGGAACAGCTGGAGTACAGATACTAAGTCAGAGTAGTGAGTTATTACGATGTATTATACACTTTTGTGACAATTCCAAACTCATAATTTTAAACAGCATGTATTGATTACTACAAATATAGTGTTAAATTTACTAGCCCCTTGACTTTGTAACCCAGAAGCTATAGCATACCACTATCTTTGTGTACCATCTTCAACCAGTTAAGCCCTAAGGATCTTAAATATTTAATACTACTGGATGACAAACACTGTGGCTTCAAATCTCCCATATTTTCTGATAAAATACATTATCTCCTGTCATGTGTTAGAGTCAACCAGTTCAGAATCAGCCCACCAAGAAGAGGATTATTTCATTAAATGTTGCAAAGAAAACGTTAGTCTTCATTTCTATTGTTCAAACCTTCTGAAAGTATGCAATAAATGTTTGCTCAATGAATGAATGAATATAGAATTTAGTCTAACTATTGTAATTTACCAGGCAGCATTCACTCAGTTGTACATGGGGTCACTGTAAGTCCGAACCAACTCCATGACAACTAACAACAACACTGTAATTCACAGAATATACTGAGATACTCAAAGTAGTAAGTAACACAAACAGTATCCTATTTAGTTTTTGCAAGCTGACTGTATATATATGTTGTTGTTGTTGTTGTTGTTATGTGCTGTCGAGTCAGCCCCGACTCACAGAGACCCCTCCTTGGGTTTCCGAGACAGTATCACTACGGAAGTAGGATTGCCCAACCTTCCTTCTGAGGAGTGGCTGGTGGGCTTGAACCGCCAGCCTTCTGGTTAGCAGTCAAGTGCTTTAGCCACTTTGCTATCAGAGCTCCTATATACTATACACACACATACATATACATATGTATGTGTGTGTGTGTGTATATGACATTTTTATAATTATAAATTATAATTTATAATTGAGTCATATCAAAGACAAAATTTGTTGTTGTTGTTATGTGCCGTCGAGTCGGCCCCAACTCATAGCGACCCCTTCTTGGGTTTCCAAGACAGTATCACTACAGAAGTAGGATTGCCCAACCTTCCTTCCGAGGAGTGGCTGGTGGGTTTGAACCGCCAGCCTTCTGGTTAGCAGTCAAGTGCTTGAGCCACTATGCTACCAGAGCTCCTAAAGACAAAATTTAGATCATGAAAATCATATCTAACACAAAATACCAGATATAATTTAGATCATGAAAATCATATCTAACACAAAATACCAGATATAATTAATACACATCCAAGAATACAGAAAAACCACTGTATGTTTTACTGGCGTTTAACAAAATTTTCTGTGTACACTCAAGGAAATAATTTATATAATATAATCGAGTATTAATACCAAACACAAACTGAAATAGCAAAATATGTATATCCCACCTGAACATCTTTGTATTTGTCCCGTAAGTCCAAGAGCCGGTGGTATGCTTTAATGGCTTCTGAGAACTCCCCAACATCTGTGCTAGTGAGGATGTAGTTTTCCCAGATCTGCCAGTGTTCATAGTTACACTTGAGAGCTTCTTGTAAAGTTCTAAAAGCTTTTACTCTATTGAAGATAAAATTTTAAAGAGAGTAATAAGGAGCTGTTTTTAGTCAAATAAACCGGAGTTAAATGTATAAAATGATAATCTAGATTGCCTCAGCCCTTAATCATTCATGTTAAATAAGAAGAATTAGAGAACAAAAAACTCCAAACCATCTAAGGTTGTCTTAGCAAAATTCAGTGGCAGATCCTGTAGCATAGACGGCCGACAGAGAGACACTCATTCCTTCCCCTAATCTACTTACTGGTAACAGGATATTATTTTATCCTGTTATAGCATCATCCACAGTGTAAATCACTTTTTATCTTCTCAAAATATTTCTTATTCTTAAATTATCATTTACTCTCTTAGCAACTATCCATTAATTTTTCATTCAGGTTCAGTTCAGATAATACTTTCATATCAGTTTTGATTAAGTCTAAGAGATATAAAAAATGTGAAGTTCAGGGTTGGCTGTTTGTACAGTGTTTGGTTCACTAGTTTCTTGGGTTTAAAGATATGTCATCGAATTACAAGAATTTTGGACTGTTCTAAACTCAAAACTGGGCCACAGAGTTTGGCAAATATTAGAATACGTATAGGAACAAGACAAATCAGTATTTCAGATCAAGACTTTAAAGAAAATTGGTACAAAATAGTCACAGTAACAGTGAATGATATGGTAGGAGAGTATGAAGGTGAGAGGAATTATTTTATTTCTAACCTCTTGGAGGCATTTTCTTGTTAGACTAAAAACATCATTTCACATTTCAAAAGCCTCATTCCTAATCTTAAACAAATCAAAAAATTTCACTTTCTTAAATTGAGAGTTTTACAAAATAAAGGCCAAGTACAGATGCTCTTCTCTTACATAACAATGTATTATCGATAACAATGTATTATCGCTGTGTCCCAATATAACCTGCAGCTTCTAAAAATACTGTTCTCTCACCTACCTATCCTCCCCACATGCAATGTTGCAATCCCATAGCTCTTGTTCTCAACAATGAGCAGCTGTTAAGGTATTCATTGAGGATAAACACACAAATAAAAATAAGTACAGAGAAAAATTAAGCTTTTATTCTATCAAATCATTGGATACTTGCTTTTAATTAAAAGAAAAAAAAAATTAAGAAATAAAGTCATTTTGAAATTAAAACTAAACCACAACAAAAGCAAAGGATTCTGTTTTCAAATCAACCATATTTGTGGTTATTTAATTACATAAATACTCAAGATTATAAGAAATAAACTACTAAGGCTGTATATCAAATGCAGGAGTGGCAGTGGAGAATAAGTCCTAATTTAGGAGCTCTGGTAGCAGAGTGCCTAAGGCACTTGATTACTAACCAGAAGGCTGGCGGTTCAATCCCACCAGCGACTCCTGAGAAGGAAGGTTGGGCAATCTAGCTCCATAGTGATACTGCCTCGGAAACCCAAGGAGGGGTCCCTATGAGTCCGGTCTGATTCCACAGCACATAACAACAACAGAAGAACAATACAATATGGCAATAAAAATTTTTAAGGAGTAAAGGGTAAGACTAACTCAATAAGGTAAAAAAAAGAAAAAAAGTGTATTACTGAGACAAGCACTAGAAACAGAAAGTAATTAAAATCAAGAGCTGTTTCACAATACAACTAAGTATAAATCAAACCAAAACATACTGCCACTGAGTGGTTTCTGATTCATAGTGACCCCTATTTGGTTGCCAAGGCTGTAAATCTTTAGAGTAGACTGCCTTATCTGTTTTCTGCAGAGTGGCAGGTGGTTTGAACCACCAACCTTTGGTTAGTGCCAAATGTCTTAACCAGAGCTCCTTCTCAAATGAGTGTAATCAAGTATGAACAAATAAGTATAAAGGAAATTAAGAGAAGTATAAATACCACTTATTTTTTTCCTAGATGGAAAGGGCTGCATTATGTAAGTTGTTGTTGTTGTTGTTATGTGCCATTGAGTCGGCCCCGACTCATAGCGACCCCTCCTTGGGTTTCCGAGGCAGTATCACTACGGAAGTAGGATGCCCAACCTTCCTTCCGAGGAGTGGCTGGTGGGTTTGAACCGCCAGCCGTCTGGTTAGCAGGCAAGTGTCTTAGCCACTATGCTACCAGAGCTCCCGCATTATGTAAGAGGAAGTCTTATTATTAACATATTAAATACCAATTAACACTTGGTAAAACTATCCTTCATCTTTATAAAATTCATGTTGATAAATGACTACTTTAAATACAAAATATATTAAAATATTTGAAATTATTATTTCAGTAGTTAAAAATTTAAAACATCCAAAACATCTAACAATAGAAAGATAGAAATAAATTAGGAAACATTCAATAAATATATATATTTGGATAACAGATTAATATTACAATAATATTTCCAAGGAATGGTTATTTAATAATGTAGGAAAACACTAAAAAAAAAAAATTAGCTAAACACTAGTAAGTCAGTGTGGTAGTTAAGTTGTGTGTCAATTTGGCTGGGCCTGGTTTGGTGGCTGGGCAGCTGGATACAGTTATTCTCCATGATGAGACTGATAATCACCTCCATGGAGAAGCCTACTGGAGCAGCTGAGTAGCTACCTGAGGGATGTGGTTTGCTTCCAGTATATAAGAAGCGTATTTAAGAAAGGTCTTGGTGCTTTTTGGTACACCTGGACCCTGCACATAACCAAGTCTTCATTCAGCAGCTTGCCATGTTTCCTGCTGATCTTGGGACTGCCTCTGGATTTGAACTAGTGGCCTACCATGCTGTCTGGTAATCTTGGAACTGTGCCATTTTATTGGTCAACCTTGAGTTTGTCAGCCTCAGCAGCCAGTTGCTGTCTGAGTTAAAAGAAGCCTCTAGCTTCAGTGGGCCAGGAGCAAGAGGCAGAGCTGAAGCCCAAGGTCAAGGGGCATTCACCCAGCCTCTAGAGCTTGGTACTTTGAAGTTGGATTTCTAGCCTCCAAAACTGTAAGAGAATAAAGCCCTGTTTGTTCAGGCCATCCACTTTGGTATTTTCTGTTAGTGCAGCACTAGATAACCAAAAGAGTTAGCCTCTTAAATGGCAATGTGAATTCATTCTTTCATGCACAAAAAGCTGCCGGGTTCCAAAAGCAAGATTTCTGGGGCTAAGATAAAGATGAAGGAGTTGAGACTGGCTTCCCACTGGGGTCTGAGGTCAACTAAGCAAGGGGTCATCTGGAGTTGCTCCTGGAAGGAATGGTTCAAAGAGCTCCTTCTATGGAATGAGGTATGGAAGCAACTTTAAAGGCCAGGGAGGTTGACCCTCCCCTCCTTGTGAAAGGTGGCTGAACAAAAGCTACTGCAAACCAGCTGCTTAGAGTTATGCTTTTTAAAAGCTACGGTTTTAGGGAAAGCTAAAAGACACAGACAAAACTTTAACCATGGAAGAAAACTAAGCTGCCCACTGGCTCTATAACCAGGTCTACCAGATTACCAATATCACCCTAGGGCAAAGATCATTGGCAACCATGTTCTAGATACGCAATTAAAGTGGTCAATTAGGTGCAACCACAAAACCTCAAGATAAAAAGCATGATGTATGGCAGCAGTGGAGGGACTAGAGGTAAAACTGGTAGCCATGGGGTCAGCTGTGACCCATGAAGACCCCATGCATGCCAGAGTAGAACTGTGCTCCACAGGGTATTCAAAGACTTATTTTTTGGAAGCAGATCACCAGGCTTTTATTCCAAGGTACCTCAGGGTGGACTTGAGCCTCCAGTCTTTGGCTAGAAGCTGAGATAGGGAGATCAAGACAAATAAAACTTGGTCTACTAGCAATCAGTCTACAAATCAAAATTTCACATTCTGTGGGAAAAAAAAAATCTACCACGAGGAAGGACAGTCAACAAAATTAACCAAGAGAATATGTATTTAGTAATGATAAATTAATTTTAAAGAATAATCTACTTAGCCTTTAAATAAGTTTGTTTAACATACTGAAATAAATAAATAACATTTTTAAAAAACCATGAAATTGTGAAACAAAAACAGGTAGAAATGAAATAAGGGACAATCTTCTGGTAAGATGGCAGAACAGGGAGAAAGACTGCGCAGACCCTCTTCAACAAAGAAAAGGGGAACCAATTAACACAGACACAGAAGATAATCCTGGACCCCTGAGCCTTGAACGGAAGGATATAGAAGTGGACTAAACCCCAACTAGCAGAAGAATTTCCATGAAAATACCCAAAAAGGAGACATATGGAGCTGCAGTCTGGCAGCGATCCTGAGTAACCCTGACGGCACAGCACAGACAGCTTGGAGAGTGCCGAGTGGTGGTAGGACCTAAGAATTAACCTAAAAATCAGCCCTGCTAGCCAGGGACTGCATGGAGGACTGCTCTGGTGGCTGGAGAATAAAACACGAAGCACCAGCGAAAAGAAAGGCGGGCTGAGCTGTGGACTTTTGCCTGTCTGGAGGGCACTGACATTTTCAATGTTTACAAGCAGCTTAACCATTTTGGATATTTAAAGAGACAGTGCTCTCCAAGATTCCAGGGGCTTAAGAACAGGTTCTACTGGCCAGTAACCCCAATGAGACTAGAGACCTGGAAGACTAAAAAGGTGAAACATGCCCCTCATTACACTTATACCCCACACCCCTTGGTAAACAGAGGTGTGGCCATCATCCACTCCCACACACCTCCTGGGCCCACAGGAACTCCATCCCAGTCTGCGAGCTCAGACAGAACCTGGGTGGGCTGCCCTACCCTCCCCGGATTTTTTTCTCTCTCTTTTTTTTCTCTTTCTTTTTTCTGGTTTTTAGTTTGCTTGTTAATGTCTATTTTGAAACTACTATTATTCTTTATTCTTCCCCTCCCAGGTCCTAGTTTTCAGCTTTTTTTCTTTTCCCTGTTCATGGTTGCAATTTTTTTTTTCTTTTTTTTCTCATGGTTAACCATGTTCCTTGTTTTTCTTTTTGCATTTTTCCCATTTTTGTCTTCATTATTCTCCTCTACCTTTTTTCTCTTATTGCCCTATACCCAGATATTGCAGGTTTACTTGTTTTTTCTTCTTC